CTGTCCAGCCTTTCCTGCCCTCCTCCCCACCCCCTCCCTCCCCCCCGCCCTCACTCAACCAACCACCCACCTTTTTTTTTCACACGCCATAATATTTCTTCCCCCTCTTTTCAGTGCACAATAAATGACTGCTGTTATGGACCGCTGGTAGACTGCATCAAACAGTATCCTATGCCATAAAATTTTAAGCCTGAAATTGACGAGGAGCTATTGAAGGGGATGAGATGTGTCTGGCTCCACCTGACATAAAAGTTCTGCTTCACAGAGGAAGTGTTTCATTCCACCTGCCATCCCGCTTATCAACGATACCGAGGGCTGGAAGGTGATGGAGGAAAGAAAAAAAGAAAAAAAAGAGCAGAGGGTAGACTGATCTAAATGCATCGTCATGTGCATGTGGTGGATCAGAGCCAATGTTCTGTGATATAAGTAAAGGAAATGGGCATTCATATGCCTCATGTGTTCTGTTTGCCGTTTTGATCAACCTCATATTGATATTTGATGTATTTAGTTCCTCGTGTTTCAGCCTATTATAGTTCAGGTTGACGACCCATTTACAATGTTGCAACATTTTTATTAATTGACGATTAAGCCTAATAACTAAATCTGTAGTCCTGACAAACATTAATGAAGGTGTTTTAAAGCAAGATGCAGAGAATTTGGAATAATGTTTGTTTGGGTTTTTTTTTTTTTTTTAGGCAAATGACAAAGAAAGAACCTTAATTAACTGTGATTTGTAAACGTTAGTTAAGCTGCTAATTGAGGAATATTCCAAACTATCACTTTGTGTGACCCATTAGTCTTACTCTGGTTTTATCTTTTTTTTTTCTTTTTTTTTTTGTTACAATTGATTGTTATTTTGTCTCTTTTTCAGGCTCACTTTATTGTCTTAAATAAGATATTGTACCACATGTCCAAGTATATATAGTTCATATTTTCCTTTAAGTACATGGGTACCTACAGGGTGCGGTCTGTGTTGGTACTGTGTTGTTCTGTTCATGACCACTGAACCTTGTCCCTCTTTTGTCAAATCCAAGTCAGAGTTCATCTTCACCGCCCTACTGCTAGTTTTCAAAGACCTCCAGCTACACTTGAGAGGAACAGCTCTCGGCTGTTCTGTGCCAGTCCTGAAACATATTAATTAGAAACCATTTTGATTGATTAGTGCATTTTAGAGTACAATACCCTAAGAACCTTTTTTCCTTTAGGTAAGCAGGTTTTGCATACCATATCAAGCCTTTTTGAGACATCAAGCACGGTGCATATTGATGCAAAATGGCATTTATTCTAAAAGCATTCCTTTTTTTCCTTGACGATTTTAGAGGAATGAGCAGAGCAGCTACTTCAGGCTTTCTACGCATTTTGCCAAATTGGCATATGTTTCCTTTCCCTCATTTCCGTAATGCACTATGGAGATTTGTTGTGAAAGCTGATGAGGGTCGACCTGAAAACTTTATAGATTGGCACAAATGCATGGTACAGGAAAACACATTGAGTGGGGAAGCAAAGAGCTGTTGTTAAAGGGAAAATCAGTCTGTTTTGACATGTTGTGTTGATGTTCAGGATGAGTACCTTCACGGGGAAAATGTGAGAACATTTGGTCCAGTCATGAGTAAATCGATCAATTTGTCCTAATTTTTTTTTTCGGGGGGGGTTGTAGTACATTTTCTTACTGAGCTGTGCCACAACCTAAAGTGAAACAACATATTTACATTTGTTTTGTTTACTTTCCAGAGAAAAAAAAAACATTATCAATAGGAGCTTGTGTAATTTTGTGCTTTTTAGAACTTTAAATCAAAAAAATGGTTTTGAACTGTTTTTTGTTCCTCTACTGTACTTGGGAATCCTTGACTCTACATTCTCAGTGCTATTGGCCAGGAACATGAGGTGCTGCTCCGTGATAAGCTGAAGGAGAGGAACCTTTCCTATTTAGGTAAGGCAGATGTTGGTCTGTATTATTTTGGCTCTCACTGATGCAGATGATGTTATCTTTTATTGATTTGAACCCAGTAGCTGTTATCAAATACTCTAAGAGTAAGTTGTACGTGTTCCAGCTTGCAATGAATAGTTAAAGAATTAAAGCTTGCAGGGAAGTTGTTAATATTTCATTAGCTGGAATGTTTGTGTTGAGGTGTTATTTTTCAGTGGAAAACAATTTGGTTTTACCTAAAAACACAAAAATACGTCGTTAAGGAGATTTCATCAGTTAGCTGTTGACGGATATGCACTGCACCAACCAATTTGAAGTATTGTTGCCAATACCAAAACCTGGATTTAAAGTATTGTTGCCAATACCAAAACCTGGTACTTTGTATGTGTGTGCTCCAGGAACCAGCATTAGCCTACATTAATGTACTGGGACTGTTCCTTAGGCTAAACAATGGACTAGTCACACAAAAAAGTATCTTGACCAATAGACGAAGGGAAATTTCCAGGCACTAAATGTTTGCCACATCTGACAACAAGATCAAAGGACACATCTGCAGGTTCAGGAACTATAGCTGAGCTAGTTGAATTGTTAGCAGAAACTATTTAGTTCTTTGACTATGGTTGCTACCACTGAAAGTCGCAGCAACTATAGAATAAAACTATTGCTCATATGTGGTGGGGAGACAAAGCAACTATGAAGATGAAATTATTGCTCATATATGGTGGGGAGACAAAATAATAGCTTTCAGTCAACTTTGGTTTTTCTATGAGAACATTGCCTTCTTCCAAAAATATCAAGGCAGCCCCCACACTCATTTAGACCATCAACATGGTCGTCATCATCATCCCATAGGTCAGATGAGTGATGGAGGACAAAAGTCATTCCCCGTATCATTAAGACCATATCATTTATATGGACCTGAAATGCTGACCTTTCTGCAGGGCTGTACAGAGGACCATTTTAAAACAGTCAGAGTTCGGGGGCCACAAGAGCCCGTGCCGCAAACCCACCCCATCTGACAAATGGATTGGAAATAAGCTACCCAAAAGCAGGGATGGGCCATTAATTTTAATCAAAAGGTGATGTAAAAAGGTGATCAGATCCACATGACGGTGTCAGCAGTCCAGAATGAGTGAATGGAAGTTCTCATTCAAACACACACACACACACACACATTACCCCACCCAGGATGCTCTGCCTCAAGCCTCTGGCAGCCTTGCTGACCTCACTCTGCTCTTTCTCCATCCTTGGCTGATGCTCACCTCCTCAGCACTACTGACACCTCCACCCTCCATCTCTCCTCAATTCCCTTCCATGCCCCATTAGTTGAGCTTGGCTAGAGACGAAGAGGCAGACCCCTGTAACTGAATGACCTGGTCAGCCTGAGATTTAATGGAGAAATCAGGTGTTGTAGGGATAATGGCCAAGCCACGCCGGGAGTCAAGGACAATGGTTGCAGCGTTTATAGGCTGGGGTCAGGCTTCCAGAGACTTTAATGCCCATCCTTGGCCTTTTGCTATATATTTTATAAATCCCTGCCAAGCTGCAAACTAGAGAGCAGTTTTCTGACTGGTAACTGAACTTCATATTTGTGTGTGATGGAAGCAGTAGCGAATGGTTTTATGGTATGTTTATTAATTAAAATTAATATATAAAGTCGTTGGTCTTTATTAAACTGGTGTAAATGTGATTGTGGTGACTATGTTTATTAATTAATATTAATATATAAAGTCTTTGGTCTTTATTAAACTGGTGTAAATGTGTAAAAATGTGTAAAATTCACCTTTGTTTTTTCCTGTAGATGAAAACCAACTGAGGACTATGGGGTACGACAAAACACCTGATATCATCCTGGAGGTTCCAATTGGTCAGTATTTGAATTGTAAAATTTCTTTCATTTTTGTGGACTGTAGTAAACCCTGATCCCATTCCGCTACAATATTCTACAACATTTGAATTAGCAAAATATTAAAAGAAAACTTTGTGGTTCAACAGGGACTGATTTGTACCATTTTGTTTGAACCTGAAACCTTGCTTTAGGAAGGAAAAATCATGGGTTCCAGACCATTCTTTTTTGTCTTTTTTGCTTAAAATATTGTAACAAGCGCAGTGCAACATGAACCAGTACACAACTAACAATGCAGTGGTAGTTTCTGTGATTATTTGTGAGCTCAAAAAACTATGATGCTGCCATTTCACAGTTACTTTAAAAGAAAACTGCAAAAAACTGCTGGAATTGCTTGCGAGCTAAATGATGCTGCCATTTCACAGTTACTATAAAGAAAAACTGCTGGAATTGCTTGCGAGCTAATGTCTGTTTTCGTCCGTGAGAAGCTGTGGAGGGACATATCGTACACTGGATCGAGAGCAAAGCTTCATTTGGGGACGACCACAGCCATCGCACATATCTGAATGAGCAGTTCTGGAGCTACTGGAACAGGTAAATGTTTGCCTATTACTGTATCTCCTCTTTATCTTTGTCATCAGTAATACACTGTTAGCCTTAGCTAAAAAGAATAATACTTACAGGTACTACTTTCCCCATTTTGCATTTTGTTCATGCCATCTCTTTATGACCCAAAACCCATCAAATATTAAAATGTAACTGATGTTTCAATATGACAACATCAACCACTTCCTCGCTGCGGTCGGCCACACTAACCGCTGACTTCTCTCTAGTACACGTACACATCACATCCCACTACTTCCTCATCCTTCTCTGTCACTGGAGCCGGTTACAATTAGCCAGGAAGACAAATTGTGTTCTAAAGAACATGTTGTGTTTAAAAACAGATGGGAAACAGGTTGATTAAGCCAGGGCACTCGTTGTCATTAAGTTCTCTGAACAACTGTCTAGTTTGTTTTTGAAGTATTGAAGAGAATATTACCTATTACCCATTTCACACCAAATACTCAAGTATATAGGGCTGCACCTCCTTTCTGAAAAGTACGCAGTTAGAAGCCTGTGGATGTCATTAAGTGTCCTCTGGATGGAATGAACTCGCCCACAAGTCAAACTCCAACTGTTTGTTGTCACTAAAAATTAGTACCAACGAGTATCATTACTGAAATAGTTCAGTTTGTTTCTGAGGTCATTTGAAAAGTGACAGTTGTGCTGTATTTAAGGAAAATAGCCAACATGTTGGTCAGTGTTATTCTGGTCCCCAAAGGCATAAGGATTCTGAACGTAGCCCACACGGACGGCATTTCCACCACAGTCCTGACAGATCAGCCATGATGGCAGGCTGACATGTTGTGACACGGTGAGAAAGGTCTCAAACCTCAGACCTTGTCACAAGCTTTCTTTCTCTGTCACTTCCTTTAGCTTTTCTGATGTTTCTGGTGCCATACAGCACCTGGTCCAGATCAGGTTTCCCGACCCAACAAGACCATAACAGTAAAGAGAAGTGATTTTCCATAAATTGCTAAGGGGCCAAGTACCAAAGAACAACCACAATGACTGAAGGGCCTGACAAGAAACCAAGTAAAACTGCATCAAGGAATCAATACGTGGAAGATTGGAATCCATTTTTTACCTTTTTTGTAGCGCATGGCTTCTGCGGGTTTAGTTACTTGGAAAAAAATCATTATCAGAAAACTTGGTCAAATGTCAAGAAAGATTTGTTGACAAAATGTTTGCCATTGAGTTGCTGAAGCTGAGTAATTTATAGTAAAAAAGGAGACAAACAACTCGTATAAAAGTATTAAAGGCTACAACTACCCACGAATGCTAGTAGTGGTGAGAAAAAGGTTGATTCTCAGGTTAAACTATGAGGTCAGAAGGTCAAAGTCATAATCAGTAATGTGTTTAATTTTGAAATGGCTTTCATCTAGAAGTTTCTTTTGGACATCAGGAACCAATAGCCTCTCAGGTGTGAGTTTAAAAAGGGGTCAGTCCGACAGTTTATGAAACATTGAATGGCTCAAAAGAGTCGACTGGTTGCAAAAAGTTCAAGAACCAGAATCATTTATTTCTGTAAATCAGGAAAATCATTCTCATTCGCGCAGTCTCACAGTTGATCAGAATATCAAAATACTTACTATTTGATTGGATGGTTAGAGTAACTCAAGGCCTTACATGTTTTCTCTTGGGTGTCTTTACTAATGCTCAACCGCTTGGCCTTGTCCGTGTGTATGACAAGCTTCTGACAAAGTATATACTGTCATGTCAGCCGGCAGCCTGCTCAGATAAACACTGTCATATCAAAAGAAAAGGAAGAAAAAAAAAACAACCTCACTCCCCTCACAGCCTACCTTTTCTAGCACCCCTGTCATTGTTAATTGACGTTATTTCCAAGTTGTCAAATTGTGCTTCATCTTTCACTCCTTCCATTTTTCAACAGATGCACAAAAGTGCATTCGCATATGATATTTGTATGTGTTTGCAGATTGGTTTGCACTGTGTGGTCCCAAATATTTAAACTAATGTAGCAACAAAGGAAAAGAGAGTGATGGGATGACATCACTCCGCCTTCACTTCTCATTAGTTGGATTTTAGTTTATGACATAAGCCCTGAAGGCCCCATGTTTAGGGTGTTTGTCCTTTTGCTCAAACTTGCGCTTGATTCCGCCGCTTGACTCCAAACCTTCCAGTCCTCGTCTTGTGACCGCCCTTGGACTTGAGCACGGCGGTGTTTGTAATTACTTCATCGCCTTGATTGACGTATGCAGTGATTTGCTTATTTTTCATGAATTCCTTCTTTGCTTTAACTCAGCAGCCTCTCTCCCTATTGCTTGTGTTAATTGTTCCCGCTTTGCCCTCAGGCACTTGCGGTGTGAGCTATGGGGACGTGTTTTTTTTTTTTTTTTGGTAGATGTGGATGGGGAAGAACATAACTAATTCTCTCTCTGAAGCGCTCATCAACTGCATTCATCATCTAAACAATAGTCTTGCCAACAGACTAACCCCATAATGAACCCCTCTTCAGTGGAGTGAGGGGTAATGACGCTTCACCTACTATGCTCCGGAGGAAGAAAGGGGGGGAAAAAAAAAGGGAAAAGGAGAGAAAAACGGTCTTCTGCAGCCGAATCAAACGCTGCGTTCAGGCCGAGTGCTTGGATGAGATGGCGGAGCAGCAGCTCTTGGTGTCTCGCAGCCATCAATCTTACGGGTGGCATTCCAGAGCCAGCGAGGCCTCTGCTCTGACGGATGTTCAGATAATTGAGTTATCCATCTTGCCCAACTATCAGAGTTGCATAAAAATTATTCACCTGCTGGTGAATATTAAACACATAATGAGCCTCTTGTGTGTTTTAGTAGAAGTGGGTAAGGTTAAACACAGCATGTAATGAAATATGGACTCTTGTGTGGCACCACCTTAACTGCCCCGTTTTGATTATGGCCTGCCTGAATCAATTATGGTTGGCAAAGTTCTCCCATAACTCTCCTCATATCAGCTTAACTTCTGCCGTGTAATGGTCTGATTCATTGAGCTTATCACACATAAAAATCCAGATAATCATGGCCATATGTTGACTGCTCACTTCTCATCTTTCACCTAAATGGTTGATTAGCAGAGAATTTGGAGACACTCTCAGGGACATCTCACATTGTTTATTCCATAAGTCAGATGATATTAAACAAAAAATTAATTAGATAAATTAATAGGTAATTAATATACCTGTTAAAAAACAATTTATTACACATTATTGGCTCTTACTTCTCTCACATATATCATAATCAAGTATTGTTCAGTAAAGTGAGTTTACCATCTGGTTATAACATTTACTACAAATGTACTCAAATTAAAATATAACAACTTATCACTGGTACTCTTTTTGGTAATTAAGAGTCAATTGGCCGTCTACTTCTCCATTCTTTTTTTGCAGGAACCATTAGTAGAATATGATGAATGACATGCATTAAAATGTTCTTATAAATCTAATGTTGTAAATGTTTTATTTTTTTTAGCAAAATAAGCCATTAAATTAAGCAAAATTGAATTTCTACACCTGGATACCATAGCTCTGAGCACCCGAAGCAAAATCTGGCTGTACACCTCTGACAACATAGTGATAAAACTTTTATAGTACTGTTCAGGATAGTATCTTCTACCTGTTCCTTCTTCTAGAAAACATCTTTATCACCCGCCAAACGTTCGGGGAAAAAAAAAAAAAGAAATATTTCATGAGCTAGCATCACTGGAAATCTTCACACCTCGTGGCGTAACTAGGGGCCAAACAAACAAATGAGCTCTTATCTTCATATGGTTCTTTGCTTTATTTATAATAAATGCTGCATTCTTGTATATCCTTTCCAAACCTACGTAAAAAATACATATAAAGCTGAAACTATGACTACCAATTAGGTCTGCGTTACGCTGCAGGAAAAGGCACAACAAATACAGAGTTAAATAATAATTAGACTCAGAATGCAATTCTGTTATTGTCACCCACATCACTGCCCCCCCCCACCCCCACCCCCAATCAACACAACGGACGGCCTTTGTAGAAACGAGCATGAATGCCAGCATGCACCCTCCTCCCCTTTCCCCAGCAAATCAACTGTGAGATTCGTAAACTGCAAATGTGTCAGAGTTGAAAATGTTAGCGTTCTTAATGGAGGCTTGAAAAGGTTAGCGCTGATAAAAAGCTGCCAGCTGTCCACAAAAAAATGATTTATGGCAATATAATGGGACAGTATGGCTCATTTCTCCCTCATTTGAAAAGAGGGGGTTAAGACTCGGGCTTCTGCTGTTATACATCATCCAGCTTGACCACTTGGAAATTTGTCGGGACTCGAATGCACACAAAGGCATTATTTCTCATTTAGCTCTTCTGTTTAAATCATTCGGAAAGCATTTCCTGTTGTAATGTAGTTAATTCAAATCCTTCTTTAATTAGCAGCAGGAGATTTCTCTGCTCCAGCAGAGCATATTGATCTTCATTTAAATCTGTGTTTGTGCGAACGATATCAGTGCTTATCCCTCCTTTTAACATTCTTTTTGACAAACATAATGGAAGCAAAACTACAATTAATGAGGAAGTCATTCTGAAGACTCCTTTGTGCCGTTGCTAAACCGCTTATCTGCTCACTGACACACGGGCTAATGAATAGACAGAAATGTGATTTATGTGATGTTTTACGTCAGATGACACAGCTGCAATTAGACATCTTGACTTCTTTGTGAACTTTTTTTTCCAATTATATCCAGCACTTGTGTGCCATGAGTTGTACTCCTGAAATTGCCTGCTAATTCTCCTAAACACTTTCTGAGCCGTCAACCCCTGCATGACATGAAATTAATTTTTTCGACTTTTGTTATTGTACATTTTTAATAGACGTGTCCATCATTTTTGTTGAACTTTCCAAAGAAGTGAGAAATATTTAATTACTAGAATAAAATGACAAGACAAGTTCAGGGGTCGTTGAATTATTTTCCTATATCTTCAGCTTTAAAGGATTCTTCTTAGCTTTTGATGAGCTGATAGTTTTTCTTT